TCTCAGATGAAAGCCACTTTTCCGACAACGGTTGTCTGAAGAATTCAAACTCTATCCTCAAATACCTGGGACTGTAAAATCCATGGTACAAGTGCTTCACGCCGTAAAAGAAAAACTGGATTTACTGAAGGACTATATGGCCGATACAGTGTACCTCATCAGCAGGTAAAATATGTGGCTTCATTTTTGTAAGACTGAATTCCTAAAAATTCAGATGTAGAGTCGAAATATTCTAGTTTCATCCTCCGGTAATTAACTCGAAACGAAGTAGTAAATGAAGACACCATATTGGAGTCGCAAAGTCCACTTTGCATGAAATGGCGACAATGACCCACTTGGATAACAATGTCGCAGAGTGAAAGCTTATGCTATTTGTCGGATGGTCTTTCCAGGCCAACGACGAGGTAGTAGGCTTGAATCACCTCAAAGCTCTACGCGACGCCGGTTGTTGCCACAGATAATGATAAAACTGTTGGACTTTGCCCTGCGGACTTCCAGCATAGACTGACTTCAGTTGCGGGATGAACTTCAGTTTGAACGTTTAAATCCCATCACCGTAAAACATGAAGGATTATTCCTAAAGTCTATTTCATAAAAAAGCCATATATATATATGCTATATATATATATATATATGCTAAACTACGGGATGGACGTTTTGTAACCTGTGGATACATTTTGCTCCTATTGATTAATTTGCTGGATACACTTCGGGAATGAAACTTGAGTGCTTGCCCAATTCAAGCAGCGGAACTCAGCTTAAAGTCAGGTGAATCTAAAGTTCAGAGATAGATTATGTTGCTATCGCGAATCACCGTCTTGATGTGCAAGCACGCTAATGTTTCCCATTAAGAGGCATAGCTCAACTAAAGATAAAAACCCCAGGCACCTGAAAAACAAAACAGCACGTTAGGCTGAGAGGGGCTCCTGCAAGAAACGAGTATTTCGTCAGCACTAGTGAGAAAATATCGCCCTACGGCTGTCTTCTGAAAAGTTTGTCTATATCGCAAAAGTAACAAAATGATCCAATGTTGGCCTAATCAGAAACCGCTCCTTAAACAAATCTACTTTCTCTTGACACAAGCTTTTTATCATGCTGTTTTGATTGCTTCATTCATTTGGATGTGGATTTCTAACTCAAGCAAGCACGTAGCTTTGTTTGTTTGAACTTAATTTTGACAACCTAAAAACTCTTCTGTCCAATAATAAGTAAAAACGCTTTTCTGGGGAGCTATCTTCAAACTGAACATATAGTTATAGCTTATGTTCAACAGTCCGTTTAGGCTTGGGACAACAACCTGGCAACCGTGTTTCATCTCCCCAATCGTTTCAAACGGGGATAATTCAGTCTAACCTGTTTAGATTAACGAGTTCAATGAAATACAAATTACGTAAGCAGTTTATCTTGATAAAGTATTGGGAGATTCCTCTAGAGTGGAGAGCCAATTGAGAAAACAGGCCACTTACCCCCCCCCCAAAAAAAAAGCCTCAGAGACTGCATTGACTTCGTCGCTTCGGATTTCGCAGCATTCCTTTGATATTTCCAGAATGCCTTGCGTTTCTCTCATCCACTGAGCTACTAAATAAGGTACCTTGTATCATTTCTAATTGGTCGATGAAAGAGACACGTAGAGTTTCTGTAGAACTGGTGTCAGTTACATTTAGCGTAGGCATTTACTTGAAGTTCTTTCCCCTTACTATCCCCCATCCACTGATAACCAAAACGGAAGGCGAACCTGTAAGTTTGGGAGCAGTTTGGGGTTACTGCGTTGCAACACGCGCTCGAAAAAGATTATCTATTGCAAGAGGTAAAGCCGTTTGGAAACTATTAGCAACAAAGTGAAATTCTATAAAATGACAGCCAGGCTATTTAGTTGAAGATTCTACTTATGGATACCCTATAATCGTGTTTTAAACCCTTCGAAAAACATGACTTTGGCCAGCCCAACTAAGTATTCACACAAGCTCTTCACCGACTACGTCGAATATCCAGATTTTGTCTAATTATTTAACTCAGGACAAGGATGTAAAACACCGTTGCATCCAGGTACTTTCTTATGGCTTAGCACATTCCAGCAAAACCCAAGGCAAGTGATAAGCTTTCTCTGGTGCTGCGGTTTATAGGTTTATGTGCTCGCAAAGTATGAGTTTAACTATTCTTCTGTTTGATCAAAAGAGCACAAGGGGAACGAAAATGATGTCCTTATTAATCTGGGTATTGTATTCTGATTTCCTCATCAGCTAAACTCAATAGACGGGATCACAGATTTATAGTTTCCACGACTGTTTTCATAATTAACTGTCTCAGAGACTTGTTTGCTCATAAAACAAAAGTCATGAACCGACATAAACATCAACCTTTTCTTCAAGGGTTTTCCTAGATGGAGGTAATGTTGAACGGTGCTCAAGAATAGTTAGCCTGAAAATGGTTAACACAAAACATTTTGTGCATAAACATTAGATAAAGAAAGAGTTTGCACAGTTGAATAGAGGTCCTCCAACAAAATGTAAGAATTCTTGCACCTTTGTAATGTACTACTCATAAGTTTGCTGAATAGCCGTCGATAGCCCACGACCGGTTTCGCCCTTTTTGGAGCTCATCAGATAGGCGCAGTTCCCGGGTTTCCGTCAATATTGTGTTCTACTTGATACCAAATTACACAAAATTGGAGAACATGAACTCATTTGCAAACTAATTTGGTTTTCTCTTCGAGCCAGCTGAATCTCTGGTTTGTGAGACCAAATTAGTTTGCAAATGAGTATATAGTCGCTAATTCTTGCACCTGTTTTCTCAAACTGAATAACCCATAAATGAATGCAAATTTACACGTTTTATTTCTATGTCCGCACATGAGGATAACTGAGGAAAGTAAGATAAGTGAAAACTGCCTTGGTGGTCAAACACGATTCCTTCATTTGGCTAAAACGTAACTATACGGATTGTAACAGGAGCAGTGAACCGTCGATGGATAAGCACCACTCTGTAGGTGAATTGAAGGGAGGAAAATCTCACGTGTGAAACTTTCTTCAGAAAAGTCCTCAATCGAGGAGCCAGCCGGCGCGCGAACACTTGATGTGATTTCTGTGAATGATGCATGAGCGGCGCTCTACCCTGTCTGAGTGACATCTAAGCACACTGCTGTTCAGGCGCTCATGACCGAACAGTTGTGTGTTCATTTGATGACCAGAGGTTTGGAGCTCTGTGAGTTTCGTGCTCAAGAATAAAACGGCTTTACAGTAGTTCTCGGCTTTTCAGCATAGAGTGACCTCACTGACAGGACGAAATTCCACTTGAAAATGGTTCGGTTGGTAAATCTCAAGAAAACCTTGTACGAAGGCGTCGCATTCAAAAACCGTGCCAAGGTCAGTTTGATGAACTAGTTTGCCAGTATGATAAATTAAGGGGTTGTAAAACGGTGTAACGTCACGGAAGGCTTTTCAACACATATACCTCTGGAAATATTTTCGTTAACACCACACCAAAACAAAACTTGTGTATGGTATAAAAACCCCATCAAGTTTTGGCTCATAAAACAACACTATAGATTTTTCCCGAGTTATACACATATATAAGTGAACTTAAAGTAAGATGCCCCTGGCTTCGTTGACTCGTTCTTCGTAGAGCGGTGAACTTCTAGTCTCATTATGTCATTTGATAATAGAGTGCAAGACTTTTAGTGGAGACTTCGTCTTGTAATTCGATTTAATCCGGACGGAAGAGCCAAGATGCGTTGTTTTTATACTTGTTGGGAACCTTTGGGCAGTATCAGCCTCGAATTCCACACTTTCAGCTGTGCTTAGACTGGATAAAACGTCGTGCAATCCACATCACTTTGTAACGTGCGGATCTGGACCCTCCCCCAAACGAGCATTACTCATGAAAATTGTGGGATGTTTTCTCTTGTGAGCCGAATTATTTCTTTAGTGTCCAAGTTGAGGGAGGGTGGGAGATGTTATATACTGTTCAGCTGAGAGTGTAGCGGACTAGGACCTAACCAGCGTGTTCGGATCAATTAACAAGCAAAAGTGACCAATGCAAAATCACAAAAATCACGATAGGAAAGGAATGAGTAGTCAAATGGGGACTCACGAATGCGTAGGTTCAGTAGTCCACTACACCGATCCGGATGCAGTAACTGGCTGTAAGAGGAAAATATTCACTCGTCGAGATTTCCTGCAGATGGCTCCGTGTGAGTGAAATATTCCACAATAGGAAAATTATTCACGGCTAAAAAATGTCACAGGGATTTATTGTGACGTTTAACAGTTGACACAAACACAGAGATTTAGTCCCACTGGTTCAACAGTCAACAAACAGTTCAACGGGCGTAAATACAGTCGTTCAGCAAGAAGTCAGCAGGTCGCGCCGGAAAATTGTGTATTCGTAACATTAAAACAAACGTCATGATACAATGTGAACGACAGTTACAAAGTGTGGTTCAAGTTCAGGAAGAATGGTAAATGTGACAACGGATTACAGACACTACAAGAGCTATCCCCACTGATGATCAGCCGCTTATGGCTGAACGGTATCCTAGGTTATAGCCTCTCCAGAGCCTCGTTTGGAAGGCATTTTTGACAACTCCACACAAAGTGAAACACCTGTGCAAGACACCTAAATGTGTTATCACTAATTGACGTTATTTCCAGGGGAAATCTCCACGCGATTCAAAAATTCCACCTTACTACCACCCAACGTTGAATTTATTTTGGACTACTTCGCTTCTTGATCAACGATCAATAGTGAGCACTGAGTCTCCAACAACGAGCAAAGGGAAGATAACTCAATGAATGGTATGCGCCTTCACGACAGGTTCCCGTTCATCCAATACGGAGAGATTGTTTACAGGACTTTCAGATAGCCAATGGCTGTAAAGAACGCTCTGAACACGCGCGCATAAATAGGCGCACTGTGTGTTTAATTTTTTCAGGTTTTTGGGTGTACTTATCAACCAATGACGGAGCTGTATGCGAATGTTCAGCTCTTTTCTTCAGAAGTTTATGGCCAAGTGGTTGGGCAACAAGAAGGTAAGTAAGAAGGTTTCAAAAAAGTATACTACACTTAAGGAAATCTACAAAACGTTCTTATATCTCCACTGAGCATTTACGTGGCTTTGTTGATGACAGCCACCGGTGCCGCAGGACGTACTCTGGATGAACTGCGTAGCGTTCTTCATATTCCCGAACAACTCCAAGCCGGTGAAGTTCACGACATTGGATCGAAACTAAGTGGAGAATTTGTCAGTAACAAACATGTGGAAATTTTGCTGGCGAACAAAATATTCATCACGCGAGGCATTAACCTTAAAAGTGAATTCGAATCAGCCCTTCGTACTTACTATTCGGCCGGCGCTGAAAAGGTTACAAGAATGAAAGTTTACGCCATTACAAAGCGCTTGATTTTAGTTGGCAAATCTGGAAGACAATGAGGCAAAGAGACGTCAAATAAACCAGTGGGTGTCGGAACAAACGAAATCAAAGATCCAGGAACTTATCCCGGTTGGTTCGTTGTCAGAAGAGGCACCGCTGTTCATCGCAAATACCATTTATTTCAAAAGTGAGTTGCTCTGTTGACCAATATCCATCTACTGCTAAAGGCGCTTGGGATAGCACATTCAAAGAAAGCGAAACTAAACCTGCTGCTTTTTATGATCTGGATGGCAGTGAAACACAGGTGAAGACAATGAATAAAATTGGCTCGTTTAAATATGTGGTATTATCCGATTTGGGCGTCAAGGCAATCAAGATTCCTTTTGAGGATACTCAGTAAGTTAATGTTTTGTCAGCAAACATCTACGTACGGAGTGACAGTTCTTCATACGAACAGTAAAACTGCGTGGTCAGCCATTCTTTGTTTATTGATCTGTCAGAAAGTGGTGTCATATAAACCTCCACATCCGCTGATCTGAAAAAAAACACTTAAAAATTGCCTGTCTGGCAGCAGACAGTTCATATTTCTCCATAAATACCTCACATTTAAACAATGCTCAAGAAATAGTCATTTCACAGATGTTGCAATACGTCCATTTTCTAGAATCACCGTTGTGGCCAAACGGTATCTTCGGGTAACGCATAATACCAAAACCTCCGACAGGGCAAAGCAAAGTCGGAGCTCGGTTTCTATGCGGTACGATTAATGTAAGACATAAATTTACAAAATACACAAACCTCAATATTAGATACTTGTCCACAACTAATGGTCCACTTGGACTATAAAAACCAAATGAGCAAGCTGGCTACCATGCGAGACGGTCGCGATCGCACAACGGCGGTCATAAAATGGCTGAATGATCTCAAAGTCAAATGAGTGAAGTACCGCGGACAGCCAAACGCCAGTTCATTCGCATGAGCAAAACACAAGGGTGGAGTGGAGGTTGTAAATAGGGATAGAATAAAGGTGGAGGATCTCAAATGTCAGATCGATGGCCGATACAATCACTTAAGTTCAAAAGTTGGTCACGCCTGGTGAAAACACATCAAACTGATAACGCCTTCGTCTCTGGATAAGATACTTCCGCCCACTGATCTCACTATTGCCGGAACCGTTATGACAACAGAACTACAGTGACTAGGGAAATAAAGTTGCCACTCTGTCTAGAAAGGGGAAAATATCAGACCATATTAGTCACTGGGTAAAAACTTGCTTTTTCATTCTTAAAAGAGTTGTAGAATTCATTTCAACCTACCAAGTTCAAACACATCTTGGATAGAAAATCATACAGTCTGCATACCTTCACGTTTTCAGATAGCGATGATCTCGGCTAACAAATATCCGCATATTGGCATTCATGTTGGCCACAGATATTGATACATGGGCACAGGTAAATGCAGTACCTCTGGACCGTTTCCAGACTTACGAAAGTGTGAATCCCTACACTTTCCACTGAGAAAAATTCACTCGTTGGCCAACACTGATGTGCCTAGCTAGATAAACACTAACAAAAAACTCAGACGGTCGTGGATAGGTTGAGCGTAATATGAGCTGCTGCTGTTCTGAGACGCTGATGACTCTCAGGAGTTGCTGTTGGTCTTAGAACCTCCGTCGTTGTATCGTATACTTATCATTATTATTATCAAATTTACAAAGCTGAGGACAAAAGTTAGCTTGCTCTTTGTTCCTGAAACCCTTTCGATCAATGTTTACATTGCCCACCCTTGCCTGATAAACCACCTATCCCCCGTGAACCTCGATGAGTGCCATGTGATTCAGCCACGTACCAGCAAAACAGACTTCAACTAACTGCAGGCCACCTCACGCAAGAACACTGAAATAACCAGTCTCCAGTCAAATCTATAGAGTTTGGCTTAACTTTCGTACAGCTACCTTAAAACCAAATACGCGTGCAACTTTTTCGACGTGCTCTTAATCTCACTGACTATTTTTCTGATAGCATACCTTAGGACCCATAACAATCAAATGGTTCTGAATTGGCAACCTTCTTTAGAGCCGAACTAGCAATTCACTGAACAGATATAGCATAGGGACGTAAATCCCCCGACATAATTTGCACTTGGTGACACACCTGAAGCATCATAGAAACGTAATTTTGAGAGTTCAGTTACTGAGATCCTGGCAGGCGTTTGTCTAGCCTGTCAGAAAACAAGATATAGGAAAATCCGTCAAGAACTTACGTGAACTACCAACGTTGTCTTCCTCTTTTCATTTTCCTCACTAACTCCATTGTAATGGCTGGTCCTTGGCTATAGGTGTTCAAGCATCAGCTTGGCGTGTATCACGGAGAGGAACACGCCATACGTGACTTGAAAACCCAATGTTTGACACAGATTATAAAACATGAACAACCAAGTTTGCGTGTATCTCTGTACCGTCTAACTTTAACAAATAGCACAACCTTAAAACTTCAGATATATAGAACCGATAATGTCATCAAACCCGGACGTTGGACCAAGCATCTCCGGTAACCCGTTTTGTCTCCATTTTCTACTCGTCAACTTCATACTTCTTTAGTTCGCAATCTACAAAGACTTATTTTTCATCACTGTTATAGATATGAACTACTGATAATCCTTCCGGACGCGAATGATGGTCTTATTAAATGGCTTCAGCAGCTGAAATCTGAAGACGCCCTGAAGGCGGTGCTACAAGGACCATTTGAAGACGAGTATTTAACATTATACCTTCCTCGATTCAAGTTGGACGGGATTCCACCAATGAATTTGAAGGCACATTTGTCTTCACTCGGACTTCAGTCATTGTTTTCTAGGGATGCTGATCTCTCACTTATTACAGAAGACTCGAAACTTTACGTCGATAAGCTGCTGCACAAAACGTTTATATCAGTAAGTTGGTGTCGGTTATGTGTTTGTGAATTCGCTGATTTTGCAAACAGTTCAAATTCATTCCAGCTGATCGATAAGCAACTAAGTCGATTCATCCAATAGTTGTACTTAGACCCTGAAAAGACTACATACATTTAGCTTATTTCACAGAAATTTGCTTCCTCTGAGAAAATACGGATAAACCACTTGGAGTAGAGTCAGTTGATTACCAAGGTAAAACAATCTAAGCGGGCGTGAAAACTACAGACTTCATTGTTCTGGAAAGATGCCTTTTTTATCGAAGTTCATAGTTTTTGAAGCAAGTGATTTGGACACCAATGAGCACTGCTGGATAAGTTCAAGGTTGTGCGTCTGCGTACGAATTCCAACCATCAGGTGCCTTAAAGTCATTTAGTCAATTAAAATTACCTAACTACGCATTGAAAGGATGACTACACGTGAAAAAGTTACGCTATCAAATAAGCACTGAGGCTATTTTCGCAAAAACCATCACAAAATATAAACACAGGGAATACTGAAATTAGTTTGTGGCGTAATTTATTCTGCAACGCAGTCAAAACCAGTACTGCAGGACATTGCTACGTCGAGTGACGCATAGGTGACTTCACTCTAACCTGTGCAGTGGAATAGGCGTTAAGCAAGAGTTAGGAATCAACCGATCAACCTGTTTTATTAGTCATTCGCAAAACGCCTTTCACAAAAAAGCTTCCGCAGTTTTCATTTATTCTGTCAGATGCACTTATGAACCAGCGAATTGAACAAAACCATGGTTCATAAACAACATGCTGCCTTTCATTGTTACCTCGTTCTTCATATTTGCCGTATCCACTTCTGCTTGCAGCAAGCTTGCAGGTCAGGTGAACACTGACCTGCTTGCCTGGTTTGGAAATTAGTCTGTGGACATTTCGTCACTAGTTGCACAAACGATATCAGTGTGTGTTGTGGATAGATAGCAAAATGATTCTTAAGTGCTTCCTGCCTCATGCTATTCAGTGATTGCTTAAAATGTGTGTAAAAACCTTCTGCAACAACGTATTCCGCAGACTATCACTCCAACCGCGAGTTTTTTCTAAGTGGATAGAAGGAAATTTTCTGACCACGATGGTGCCAGTTAATTGTGTAAGTTCTTTCGGTCTTCCGAATAATTATCGACTTGCATTCGTAACTTCCAAAGTTTACTAATCCAGAAATCACTCAGCTAGTGCAAGAATTTGTCTCTTTTAACAAATTTTTCCAGGTGATGCTTGCTCAGGTGCAAAAATTTGCTTGTTACTTCTAGAAGGGCATATGCGTGTTCGTTCAAATGTATGCCATGTAAACGGTGTGCGTGCGGTTACTATGAAAATGACCTGTGTTATATGATCAGTTGTTGTCACGTTATTCTTCCAGTGCTTAAAGCAATAGCGACAAAATGATTCGGGGCCTTGGAACCAGAAACGATTGATCTACGCGTACAATAGGGTAATTGAATGGGTTGGACGCAACATCCCAAGTGATTCATCCTACAACGGGGCGTCGATTTTGCTGCCGGTGACCAGCACATGGTCCATGGTGTTTAAAGGCCTTCGTCAACGACTCGCTTAGGGGTTTGGTGGAGCACAATTTGGCCAGACAACATTATGCCTCAACATTGTACACGGATGAACAACTTTGTATTTTACTCGGCTCTCAGCGAATGCTACACCTGGTCAATAAATTCGGTCAGTGCGCACTGATTATGAGAGAAACATTTTCTATTCATTACATAAGCCGAAAATCTAAAAGGAGATATCGATCGTTGAAAAAATTTATTTTCTCCTCACAGGTTAACGAAGATGGAGTGGAGGCTGCAGCTGCCAGCGGCATCGAATTCACATTCCTGTCTGGTAGACCGTCGTCCGAATTCAACGTTGACCATCCATTCTTCTTTGCACTGATCTACAAGTCAACTGTCCCAGTATTTTTGGGACACGTCGTCCAAGTTGAAGACAACTGATCAATTGTTTTGTTTAAATATGGACAAATGATAAGTGGTGTTCTTTTATTTGTTCCAAATCTCCATTTCCGTGGTGTTCTCTTCTGAAACTGTGAACCCAGAAAAATAAAAGTTGGTAGAATAATATCAAGGCACTTTTTCAAATATACCGAATGAACAAAAGATGGACAAACTTTTTATGAGATTTCAAAGGCCGTTAGTAGCATAGATAACAAGGGATTATAGAAACGAACTGTGAAAAGCCTCAAAGGAGGATATGATGAAAGATAGTCTGGGGTGAAAATTTACATTTAGAGACAGCCGAAACACTTGGCTGGTAAAAAAGATCGAACTTTCTTATCACCCAAGTTAGTAGGCAAACAAGGCCACTACAATCATATATGGGCATTTGGAAAGGATATCCGTGACATCTGAAGATGAAGGGAAGCGTCCAGGTATTACTCTGCTATTACTCGTCTATTCTAATTGACTGCTTACGAAACATGATCGTATACAATTCACAAAAAGCACTCTGAAAGAATGTACCCAGTTACCTGTCAGAGCTGTAAAAAGCTTCGGCTAATCGACCACTTGGCAGATTCTGCTCAATAGCGTGCATCGAAACTGTTGGAATGCGTTCATCCCTGAGTTAACAGTTAAACCGCTTTCTTTGGTTTAAACAAGCATCATACCTACAGCAAGCAGACTGACGGAAGGTGAAGAAAACAGGAAGAAATAACCTTTTGACTCGCCAGTTTAGATTGCGAGTGGTTCGGTGAACTGGGGCATTCCATTTTGAAGATGCTAGTTATTTTTGCCATTTAACTTGGAAAATATATTAATCGTTAGAACAATCAGAAACTTGTGGGCAATCTTGAGAGTAGTTTCCTTTATGAAAATATACTGCGATATCTCGAATATCGTGCAAACTGAATCATGAGGCGGCCTGTGTGCAGCACATTCAGCTGGAGGACATCATAAACGAGAGATTCTATGGGGTCTCCCGTGAAAACCAAACTGATTTGCAAATGAGTGTAGTTCTCGAAAACAGTGCAATTTGGGTTCAAGTAGATGATAAGGTTGACGGAAACTCGGGGACTGCGCCTACCTGATGAGCCCCAAGAAGGGCGAAACCGGTCGTGTACTGTCGAAGAGTTTTCAGCAACCTTGTGAGTAGTTTCCTTCATGAAAATCAGAAACTATGTTCTGAGTGAGAAAAAAAGCATGCAATTATTTGATAGACTCCATGAGAAGTAAATGACTGGAGTAGTTGCATGATACACATTTTATGGAAGTCCCTGGTTCGGAAAGCTCACTAAAACCCTCCTCTTTGCACATGGTTGAGACCAGATACACAGCAATT